CCAGATTTCTTGGCACAACTTGGTGAGCACATCCAGGGCAGCATCTGTTAGCTAAAATACGTCAGTTGGTATACCATTTATTCCTGGGGCCTTATTTTTTGCTATTTCCTTCAAAGCAGCTTGGACTTCTTCCTTCATCACCATAGGTTCGTGCTCATATGTTATTTCACTAAATTCTTCTGTGTCTTCCAGTTCCTTTTGATACAGTGACTCAGTATAGCAAAAAAAAAAAATTACTGGAATAACCTGGAACACTTAAAATACATTCTTAGGTCCTACTCCAAGCTTATAAAATCAGAAAGTGATAATTTCGAACCTAGCTATTAATTTTCTAGGGTGGGACGAAGTCACCCAAGTGCTTTAAAATCACTAGTGCTCAAGAACTCTGACACAGAACTTAAAGTTATTCTATCTGTTTAAGGTAAGAAAAGAAAGACATATAAAGATTAAATAACTTGCCCAGGATTACAAAGTCACTCAGGGAAATAGCTAAGATTTTAGTTCAGTTTGATTTCAAGGCCCATGCTCTAAATCAGTATACTATTGAGCTGTGGTGGCCAAGTGGCAAGAAGCTGCGCTGCAGTCTTGGAGGCACCGGGTTCGAGGCCACCAGTTGCTTGCAGGTGATGGATGGGCAATATCCTCCTGTGCGATTAACTGCCTAACTGCCTCTGAAAACCCACTGGTGGTTAGCTAGGAGTTGGTTCTGACTTGAAGGCAATAGAAAAAACATTGCCTCACCAGTGATATTTGATAATTTAAGATCTTCTACATTTAAAAATATTAATTTTCTGCTATAAATAGGTAAAATAATAAACAAGAAAGGAGATACAAATTTACTGCTTACTTAAATATTACTCCACTGAATAGGATAAAAATTAATTTCTCTCCAATTTGTGACTAGAGATGAAAAAAAGTAAGAATTTCAAGTTTTAGTATTGGTAGCCAAAACAAATATTGAGACACTTACCTCATTGGTCCGTAGTTCAGGACTATAAATGCCAAAACTATCATCACACAGATAGCTCTTTGCTTTGTATTGGGGACTTTAAGCCTCTGATTCTAAAAGGAAATGGCCATAGAAAAGATGATTCAATTACACATTATTCTCATTAAAAGTGCTATTTAAAATAAGAATTGCCTCTTCACCAATAATACAAATAATCTTTCCCATTAAAAAAAATTACAACTCAAACATGAGGAAAGAGTATTTTAAAAAAACTTGGGCAGAAAGATCCAAGTTCCTTTTTCTAGCAGAAAGAATAAAGGAGAGAAGTGGGGGAAAGAGACAGTGTTCATTCTGCAGCAGATGCTTGTTAACTCAAAAGGAAAAAAAAATTCAACAATTTTACATTTTCATCAATCATCACAGACTTTTGAGACATTGTGTAGTTGGTCTCTCTGCCTTTTAAATCCCCACACTAGTATATATACATATGTTCAAGGGCAAGATAATTTTAGGGCTTATTTGGTTGAGGACTCCTCGTAATGGGAAATTTTTAAAGCAGCAGATTTCATGAACAGAATTAAAGAGATTAACCTGCTCAGGATCACCAGGCAAAAGACTACAAAAAACCCCGAACTAGTAGTCAAGGAGACAGAAAGAAAAGATAAAAACACATGTTTATTTTATATCGTTTTCTTTTTAAAACCAGAATCCCTAGTGAGACTATCTCAGCATCTCAATGTGGTTCAGCAAGTCAGAAAAAGAAGGTGCTTGCACACCCATGTTTATTGCAGCTTTGTTCACAATAGCAAGGAGTTGGAAACAACCTAAGTGCCCATCAACAAACGAATGGCTAGAGAAGCTGTGATATATTCACACAATGGAATACTATGCTGCATTAAAAAACAAGGAACTCATGCAATATTATTCAAAATGGTTGACTCTGGAGAACATTATGCTGAGTGAAATATCCCAGTCACAAAAGGACAAATATTACATGATGCCACTGTTGTAGAATGGGACTGTCCTTGGGGTTGGGGAGAGACTGAGTAAGATGGGTTCAATAATGTATACTGCACTGAAACAGAGGAGGGAGAAAACTGTTTAAAAGAGATATATAACTAGGTATTTCTGTCATCACAGGAGACTAGAGCGAGGGCTACATGGTGGAGGGGACCTGGGGGAGGGTTTGTAAAACAATGAAAGAATCTTTTCTTTTACTTTTCCATAATTTTTGACTCATGTACTTATAACTTGTTAGTCAAATTTGTGTCTTCTAGGTTGCAACACCCCCATGATACATCTTCAAGGATATGAACATGTACGGCCAAGCACAATCAATAAGAGTGCATCTAAATTCCAAAATCAATCTCCATAATAGTCTATGTGTTTCCTACTGCCAAAGGGGCTCTTTAGAGTAGTGAGAGAAGATCTTCACCCTGAAACCCACAGCGTCCCTTTTCAGCAGGAAGTAGCTAAGAGAATACGCCATCCCCTTTTCCTTATGACTCAGGGTGAAGTCTCTCTCAGGGAGGAGTGATAGGGAATGGCAAAGGACACACTGACAAAGAAGATTAATCAGAACTGGCTTTGACAAGCACTGTGGCATTTGGACAAGAACAAACTGGGAGGAGGGTAGAGAGAATAGTGCAACAATGAATGAATGGAAACCCAAAATCTCTGTAAATGTTTATGAAAATTAATATAATTATAGAAAAAGAACAAAAAAAAAAGAAATGGTTGAGGAGTAACCTAGAAAAATGAGACCTCTCCATGTCGCCTCGGAAGTATAAGTCACAAAAGGATAAATACTATGTAAGATCATTGCTATAAAAAGCTAAAGAAAGATTTAAATACAGAAAGAATCTTTCTAGATTGGTTACTAGAGAGGGAAATGAGAGGCATAGAAAATTAAAAAGACAATAAGCACTCATTAAGATGAGTGAAGGGAAAGATAATATGAGTGGACGATCAGACATTGTGCGTAATGTAATCGATGCTACAGAACAAAATGCAACATGAATGATTGACTAGGGGAGAAAAAACCCAGCATGCTTTGTAAACTTTCATTCAAATTGCCATTTTAAAAAGGTCCTTTTTCCCGTAGTGGCAAGAAGATGCACTGCGATCCCAGAGATATGTGGTTCGAATCCACCAGATGCTCTGCCGGAGAAGGAGGGGCCATCTCCTCCTGTACCAGTCAGATCCAATTTGATGGTACACACACAGAAAATAATAAAATTAAAAAAAAAAAAAGGTCCTTTTTACAAATGTTATCCTCATTGCAAATATACCCTTGGGGTTTTTTTTAACATTATTCTTTCACATAACATAAATTAAAATACAAAAACGTCCTCTTGGTTCCATCACTAGCACCTACCTCTAATACAACTTCATCCAGCTGCCTCTTCAGTGACCCATTCTCTTTCTTCAGTTTCTCATTCTCTGAAAGTGCTGCCTTTAGTTTTGCCTCCAACCCTAACATATATTCTTTCTTCTTCTTGCGGGACTGACATGCAGACTCTCGATTTTTAATCATACGTTGTTGTCTCCTTAGCACAGCAATCTGGGAAAAATAATGAGAATTCTGGTTAGCTCTGATATTTACAATTGTTTTTAAATAACTAATACTCAAAATATAAGCTACCGGTTGTTTTTAAAGCAAGTACTTTAAAACATCACTCAGATTAAATTAAAATCAATTGATCAAATAAGATTTTTCCCTATCTGTATTGTAGAGGTTTACATGTTGCAATGATGTAGGACGCTATGCTGGTATTTCAAATACCAGCAGGGTCACGAATGGTAGACAGGTTTCAGCAGACCTTCCACACAAAGAGTAAGATGGAAGACTGGTCATCCAGTTCTGAAACAGCAGGGTCTCAAAAAACCTAAGAACAGCAGTGGAACACTGTTCAATACAGTTGCAAAAGAAGAATCCCTTAAGTATGAAGGGACCCAAAATTCTAGAAAAGAGCTGTCTCTTCAAGGTAAAGTCTACCTTAATGATGTGAATGGAATAAAGCATTCACCTGGTGAAGGACTGTCATTTGCTGATGCAAACAGATTCAAAATGAGAAGAAACAACAGCAAAAGTCCATTAACAATTAAAACATAAAATGTACAAAGTATGAGTCTAGGAATGTTGTCTAAAATTAAATGGAAGGCACCAAGATTGATATTCAAGGCATAAAATGAGTTGAAATGGACTGGCCATTTTTAACCAATTACATGATCTACTATGCTGGAAATAACAAATGAAGAATAATGTCTAATTCCTCAAAAGAATGTTTCAAGATCTATCCTGAAGTACAATGTTCTTTCTAAAAAGAAAGACCTGTTATTCAGGTAACAACCACTAAAGCCAAAGATGAAAAAATTGAGGATTTCTACCAATGTCTATAGTCTGAAATCGATCAAATATGCAATCAAGATGCATTAATTATAATTTTTGACTGGAATGCAAAAGTTGGAAACAAATAAGAAAGACTAGTAGTTGGAAAATAAAACCCTACTGACAGAAATGAGAAAAGACATCACATGACAGAACTTTGTACAATCAATGCTGTATTCACTGCAAATACTTTCTAATTATACATAAATAGTGACAATACACCTGGGCCTCACCTGACTGAATAAACAGTAATCAAACTGACTGTATCTATGAAAAGAGAAACTAAAGATGTTTAAAATCAGCCATGTAAGGGCAGGAGTCAACAGTGCTCATATGTGGTTCCCCCAGCATAGTGACAGCAGGGCCACACAGCTGAGATCAGAGTCCAGACAGGACTAAGCACCCTCTGCAAACAGAGAATTCTGCCCAGCCCCTGGAGGAGATACTGGATGCCCTCTGCAAACAGGTATTTCCACCCAGCCTCCCACCTGAGGGGACACCGTGTCTGAGCTTTGGTCTTAGTTTAAAGATTAAGCTTATCCATTGTTTGTTGGCAGCACTTAAAGTTTAAGGAAAAAATATAGTTTCCAGAGATTGAACCTTTTTGAGAATGATTGGCCTAAACTAAATAAAAACCATAGAGAGACTAAGAAAGGGCCCTTTCCACAGTGCCATGCTGTAAGAGGACCTCTGCCTCAGCCCTCCCTCTTTTCCTGAACTCATTTCCCCATGTCCCTTTTTCCTTTTGCGTCCACTTTGCAACACTCATATGCAAGTTCAAGTGGAAGCTCCACGAGAATCAAAACAGACCCTACTTTATCTCACCTAATTTAAAAATCATCTCAAAAACAGAAGTGAAGTACTGAACACTATGAGCAAAGGGGTAATATCAAAGACATCACCCATGAAGAAAGCAAAAGTCATTATGAAGGCAGGAAAGATCAACATGAATGTCAGAAGAGACCATGAAGCTTGTCCTTCAACATAGAGAAGTCAAATGAAAGGAAGAATGATGAAGGGAGATGAACAGATTTCAAAGGGCAGTTCAAGAAGAAAAAGTAAAGTATTATAATGTGTAAAGATCTAGAATTAAAAACCCCAAAATGAAGAGTATGCTCAGTATTGCTTAAGCTGAAAGAAGTGAAGCAAAAATTCATGCTTTTAGGTACAATAACAAAAGGTTCTATGGAGGAAATACTGAATGAAGCAAATATTCATTAAAAGAAGATGGAAGGAATACAGAGTCACTGTAACAAAAATAACTGGACACAGTCCAGGAAATGGGAAAGATCCCACTGTAATCTGGAAAGACAGGGTAATGGTGGGCATGGTTCAATGGCAATTGAGTTTATAAAACATTATGAATGGGAATGACTGTACAAAACACAATATGAAGGATAGTGTGAAATACAATGTGCATGAACTTTGCAAGCAAATCAATATAAAATAAAATTTTAAAAAGGAAAAAACAAAAGTAGCAGCATATGATCAAGAACCAATGGTACTGAAAGAAGTCTAAGCTATACAAGGTATTGGGGGTGAAAAAAGTCTCCAAAAAGAGATGGAATTCTTATTGAGGTGTTTCGGCAAACAGAAGCAAACCAAATGTGCTCACTAGTCTAAGCCAAGAAATCTGGAAGACAGTGATCAGACCAACTAACTGACTGGAAGAGATTCATATTTGTTCACATTCCAAGAAAAGGTGATCCAACAGAATGTGGAAATTATCACATAACATAATTAGTATAACATACAAGTGAAATCTTGCTAAAAATTATTTTTAAACAGCTACAGTAGTACATCAACAGTGAACTACCAGAAGTTTACGCTAGATTGATTCAGAAGAGACTATAAAACAAGAGATATTATAGCTGATGTCAGATGGATCTAGGCTTGAAAGCAAGAATACCACAAAGATGTATTGTTGTTGCTGTTATGTGTCATCGAGTTGTTTGTGACTCATAGTGCCCCTATGTACAAGGGCCCTAAATGCTGTTCTATCCTGTGCCAACCTCACTGTCTCTGACACAACTACACACATTACCGATGTGTACCTGTGTTTTATTAACTATGCAAAGGCATTCGACTCAGTGGATCATAAAAAAAGAAAAAAAAATGGTTTCTGATGCTGCTCATGTAGAATAAACACCTCACAGGTTTCGGTTCACTGACTGGAAGTTTGGGGTTATCATTTCATGGACCACCACAGTTGATTTGCCTAATTTTGTGTCCGGTGCTTGCGCTGTATTTCCTGGTTCAATGTATAGTGCCTGGAACCTCAAAGGCTTTTGAGCAGCCATCTAAGACACTATTGGTTTCTATCTACATACATGGAGCCTGAGAGGAGGAGGGCAGTCAGGATTAGGAGGAGGACATGGAATGCGTAACTAATTGTGTCCCTGTACAATTGTCTCTTTTATCAAGAAAATTTGGAACTAAATAGTGTCCTACTTCCATTACTGAACCTTTTTGTCAAATACTGTAAACGAACCTTGATCGGAAAGAAGAAAATGAAGAACAGAATTTCAAATTTCCATGGAATTTACATTCTGAGACCATAGGCTAAAACACTTACTCCAAAATAAATCTTTAAATCTTAAACCAAAAATATATCTTAAAACCAAAGTAGTAAAGAATGCCTGGCTCCTAAGGATAAACAATGCATAAGACCATTATTTTAAAAACAGAAGAATAACTAGGAAGATGTGTATAAATGTCCAAAGAGGGAAGAGGAGATGAGGGGCTGAGGAAAGGGAAGGGGGAAATCATGGGTTTACAGAGTTTGGTGGGGGGAGGGAGAGAGAGAAGGAATTAGAAAAGATTTAGTGGGAATCTAAAAAGATGTTGGTAATAGTGAACATAGACCAATGGTGAGTTCTTTTATAAGACAAAATATATGGGAATGATCGTAAGAAACACAATGTGAAAGGGGAAAAAGGTATAAAAAATTTTTAAAAAGACATAAAAGGATGTCTGCCTTGATCACTGTCCTCTTTTGCCTTTCTAAATGGGATCACGGTGACAATGACAAATCAAAACGTTGGACAGGGACTTTAACAGGCACTGAATTTATGCTAAGGGGGAAGAATAACTCAGAAAAGAAGGGTAAAATGGTTGCGCATAACTTGAACAAAATCATTATGTCACTGAACAATATGTAGAAACTGTTGAACTGGTAAATACATAATTCTCAACAAGCACAGCAAAATTCTATAAAAAGCAACAACCAAAAAAAAAAAAAAAACCCCATACACACACACAGAAGGATTACCATCTTGCCCATCAATTCTACTGCTAGGTATTCTAGTCTCAAAAGATTTGCAGAGAGACTCCACACACCAATGTACACTATTCACAGTAGATAATTGTAGAAACAATCTGTGCCCTAACCAAAAGACCAGATCTTCAACTCTTAAGCTGCTCCTCAGGAGGAAGATCAGAAAACCCCTCCAATAAAAATTTGCATCCTTGGAAATTCAATGAGCATTTGCTGAGTTGGAATTGACTTCACAGCAGTGGTATATATAAACATCCACTGACATGAAACATCTAGAGCAAGCAAATGAATGAAGATAGAAGTTTATTAAGTGACTACCAGGAACTGGGAGAACAGAGAACTAGAATTTCTTGTTCAAAGGATATTGGATCTCTGTTGAGGATAATAAAAAACTTTTAGAAATAGAAAGTCTTGATGATTGTGCAAAACTATAAATGTAACCAAGGTCACTGAATTATATACTTTAAAATGATAAATTTTTTTTGTTATATATTTTTTACCACAGTAAAATTTTAAAAACAAACAAAACTACTAATGCATTCTAGATCTTTGGTGGCCTAGTATTAAGGAACTGCACTGTCAACCAAAAGCACATGGTGCCCATCCACCAGCTGCTGTGCAGGAGAAAGGCAGGCAATCAACTCCCACGTAATTTTACTGCCTCTGAAAACCCACTACAGGGACAGCTATGAATTGGTCCCAACTCCACAGTACACAACAACAATGTAGTCTTCGAGATCTCCAAAAGGATATTCACTACTTAGCCAAACCTTCCATCCATTTCCTCACTATTCAAATCACACGAAAAAACCCAGAGCATATTTCTACTCTGACACATAGGGAATTCTCACAAGTTTAAATCTATTTGACATACTGGTTATGAGTTTCATAATGA